GCGTGTAGGTATTTTCGGAAAGGGGATGACGTGTAGAGCCCGGAAATTGATGCCAGACGTCATTTTGGAATCCAAGATGGCAACCAACACTTCAAGAAAAAATGTCAAATACTCTACAATATGGGTATTTCCGTAAGGGGGACGACGTTGTAGAGGCTGTAAATTCGATGCTAGACGCCATTTTGTAATCCAATTGTAACAATTGGTTCGAGAAAAACTTGTTCCGAATGTTTCGTCATCGGTTACTTGGCCTTTTCCGTACCGTTGACCGTAACTATTTAGTTTAAGTTTTATTAATTTATTAATGGTCAGTTGAATTTTTCAACATACAATAAACAAATTCTGCTCCAAAGCTCCCCTGGAATTCTTCTCACATTTAATCGTTTTCCTCCTTAGCGTTAGCGTTAGCGTTAGCGTTGTTATGATATACTTCGTAGATTGGATACTAGCGACACTCACGTCTCTTCTGAAATTCTCAGTTAGACTACTTTCAGGAATAATGCTGAGGAGTAAACATTGGTTCCAATCTAAACAAGAGTAACAGAAGCATGACTGTCGCTATTCCCGGCCACGCCCATCTTTACCATAACTAGGGATAGGGAAGGAAATGTTGATGTAGTACTTACTTAACGAGAGGCCACCGACTTAGCGACACCCTCATAAGTGCTACGGAGTTGGAGGGTTGGGTAGGGTATTCGGTTAGGATTCACCTCAAGTTGGCGATGCAACCAAAAGTATGTATTGTTTATTTGTTGTTTATTTAATCTCTCGATAGCCGGCTATCGAAAGAACATATTAATTTTGTTTAGTGATAATGAATTTTAAGAGTCATGACGGAGAGCTTGGGATTAAACCCATAATTTTCTGCTCAGTAAGCAAAAACGATCCCTCCAGGGTCATCGAGCATCTCAGAACCATAACACTTCGCGACAATACAGGACTACGTTTTCGCTTGATATGCAAATAGTTTCCGAGGTTAATGTTCAATATCAAATATACAAATTATGGTGGCGATTTATTGTGCTGTGGAAGAGCATGGGGTTAAATCCATGATTTTCTGCTCAGTAAGCAAAATCGATCCCTCGAGGGTCATCGAGCATCTTATAATCCACAGCACTTCGCGTCAAAGTACGAATATATGGATGAACTATCTATTATTGAATAACTATTATTTACGATAATTACATAAAATAAATAAAATATAAACTACAAACAAAACGTGACTGCTAAAATCTCAAAAAAATATTCTCACAAATATATTTCACGCCACCAGGAATATCAAAACCATTAGACGTTATAATGATACTCTGCACATGTTAGACACAAGAAGAGGCCAAAAAGCAAGCGTCCGACACACAAAACCCGCCAAATCCACTTGCAGTCACAATCAACGATTCTATGAATCGCGAGCGTTCACGAATCATAAAACCGCTGACTGCGACACTCTGAAAGCGAAATTGACAGGCTCTATGCGTCAAACACCCGCCCTCCAATCTCCTCACGCATCCAACAGCACAAATCTCCATTACAACATCTAACGAATTCAAAACTCCGAAAATCACTCATCTATAGCAAGTGCATGCAACCATTCTTCATGATACACTTTTTCCGCCTATCTTTCTATTGGGCCTGTGGACATGCGTTAGCTTCGAAACTTCTAACCAAACTGGGAAAATTTTCAGATCACAAAAAAAAACTTGAAAAAAAAAAACTTTCAAAGGTAATTACAAGTAAAATAAATATTAATTATTTAACGCAAAAACGAGCAAGTAATATTAAATCTCTTGTATCGTATGCTAAAGCTGATTGACTGTAAAAAAATAATATGCTTCAATAAAATAAAATATTAATAAAATGATATGCAAAATTTATTAGAAGATCATTACTTTATTGGTGAGAAGTTTCTAATAAGCCCTCCCAGTTCCTCTGTATACAGAACAAATCTGATACTATAATCAGAATTGCTCAGTCTGCATGAAGCAGCCGATTTCATCAAGGAAGTTCTATTAACAACCAAGAATTAATCTTTTGAGGCATACTGAAGCATTAAGAAGGTGATATGTGTCACTATAGGAAATCATCATCGTTGCAAATATAAAGAAATTAAACATAACCCTTTGCTTCAGTACCGTCAACCTCCATGTCCATGGGGAGGGACATTTAATCGTTTTCCTCCTTAGCATACGAAAAGTGTAATGAAATTGTGCATCGAATTCCCTTTCTATACTTCTATACATTTCTTTGAATTCTCCTTAAAATTATCGTGAAATTACCATGATGATTCTCCGGACCTCGTTACAAAATTTCCTTTGAATAACATTCAGCATTCGGTTAGAACTCTATTCAGAACTAACTAAACCTAACCAAACCTGACACTTTAAGTTCCTCAAAACTAACTTGCCCTTAAATTTCACTTAAAATATCCCTCAAAATTCTTCCCAGAACTTCTTTGGAATTCCACTCCAAATTCCTTTCAAGTTATCCCTAAAATTCCATGAATATTCTCATAAAATTCAGAAATGAAACTGATATTTTTTTCAAATCTGGGTTCTTGCAAAATGTTCCATGTCCGACATCTTGAATCTCTGTTGAAGATTTCCAAAAATTTCTTTCAAGTTTAGTCCATGTTTTGGAGTAATTGTTTAAGCTTAAAATCTATGAACTTAAAATAAATCCAGCATTATTAAGCTCATTAAGAATAAGAAAATACGGAGAAAGGTACAGTTAATAGCATTTTAAAATGTTATGAAATATTTAAATTGATTCATTATTTTCTTAAAAATCCGTTAGGCAGGAGAATTTAAAAATTCCTTGAGTAATGATGGAATTTCCTGTGAATTCCATGTTTTTTCCAGGAAAAGTAACATTCCCCGAAAAATCCCAGTTATACAGAGATTTTCAGGTTTTTTTTTCAGGTGGTAGACACCCAAGATCTTGATATAAAATGTTTCATGGCAAACTCAGTTTCTCAGTATATGGGGGAAAATGATTTAAATTAAGGATTTGGGAAAAATCGACACATTTTTCAAAAGCAAAAAAAAACGTACTCCAGGAGTACATAGAAAAACAAAAACGAAAACATAAAGTTATTCTGTTCAGAAAATGCACTTATTTACTATAAATGATTTCGCTGAAAGTTTGGAGGTGCGATTGCATAACCGAAAGTTGAGTGCTTGGAGCAAGATAAAATATCCTGTGAATACCAAATCTAGGTATGACAATAGTATAACTGGCAACCGAAATATTCAATCAAAATATCTTGTTACTTCGTACGTTAAGCTCTAACGATTTTCATAGATGTGAGGAAATGCTATGCTTTTATCAACATGAAGCTTTAGTGTGATAATTTATTAGCTAAAGAAAGTTTTGAAGCTTGATAGCTCCGTAAAAGTACTGCAGTGTGAAAAATGAACAGAAGTTGAAATTAAGCGAAGGGCCATTAATGCGACAACACTAATCAAACACATATTCTTTTACCTAGCTCATACATTCATGGATGAGGGAATTTGAGGTATGTCCTCAAATGCACAGGCAAAAGAGTGCGTGTTTTACTTGCTCATATACTGTCTGTGGCTGTGGAATAGTTCTTGCGATGTTTATCACTGCCTAAAGCCCCATGTTGTCGAAAGCATTTCCAGGCGATGGTGTGTTATACAGCTCTCCCCCGAAGAACGTGTTACCCACTGAGTTCTACCCACCGCTTTGTCTCGGTGGGTTTTCAACCAAGCGCTCTATTTTTTTGCCGAAGAACGCGTTACCCACTGAGTTGCACCCACCGCGTTTTATCGGCGGGGTTTCAACCAGTTGGTCTGATTTTTTGCATGTAAGTAGTGCCAATGGAGAACTAGTCACTCGCAGAAAATCAGAGCGCTTGGTTGAAAACCCACCGAGGCAAAGCGGTGGGTAGAACTCAGTGGGTAACGCGTTCTTCGGAGGAAAGCTGTAATAAACAAATCGATTTTGCATGGCTACCCTAGCTAGGTTGTATCAGTGAGATCTTGCGTCGAGAAGTCAATTGGCACTACTCACATACAAAAAATCAGACCGACTGGTTGAAACCCCACCGAGAAAAAGCGGTGGGTGCAACGCGTTCTTCGAGGGATAACTGTAATGCAATTCTTCATTATCCAACTATTGATATGCTTCTCTCGTCATGACCAACGTAATCATCTCAGAGAGAAGCAGTAGGGTGGTGTTGCGTGATGTACCATCATCAGCATTGTTGACGGTTACTTCCGCCTTGAGTTATTACATTCAATCAAAGTGTGTGGTTACTTCGTACGTGAAAGTTACGATTTTCAGAGTTATGAGCGTTCAATTTTCACACTTCCGTACTCTAGCGGAACTATTAATCTATCCTCATTAGAACTTTCCTTAGCTGATAAATTATCGCACTAAAGCTTCAAGTTGATATAGGTATAAAATTTCCTCCTAGCTCTGAACTTTCTTATATTAAGCTCAATTGATGTACCGTTCTGATTCATATTTCGGACAGTCTTATATTTCGGACACTTTCATTTTTAATTAAATATTACATCCAGTTAGAAACAAAGTAATAATGTTAGATGATCGTGGAGGGCACTAGTCAAAAAAAATTTAAAATTTACAAGACATGTGGATCATATTCAACCGAGATAATCAACTTTTAAAAGTGTCCGAAATTCGAGTTTAAGTGTCCGAAATTTGAATCGGCACGGTACTATCTTCTGCTAATATGATCAGGAATGGCTGTTATATACACTCCAGGAGTACGGATTGACATGCTTTTTACTAAAGCTGCTTTCCCATATACTGAGTGAGTTATTTTCTTCATATACTGTGGAAAAGATAATTGTACGTGCCTTGCTAATTATGCAATTGGTAGGAATCGACACGACCCAATGTGCGATGGATGTTTCCTTGAAACACTTTTAAGCTCGCATACAATTAACCAAAACAGCCCCTTAAAGACCTGCTGCAAGTCTCTATTCAACGATTCAAACCTAAACGTAACTACTCACACGAGGAAGCGATTCCCACGAACGAAACCGATGTCAGCATCCACTCGTAGCGCAGCACCATCTTCAGGGGCCATCTCACCAGTTCACAGGCCATAATCACCAACGAACCGAATGTGCACAGGAACGATAGCGTCACGAATGCCTGAACCACCATCAACCAACCGGGCAGCAGGTACTCCCGAATGACATAGTATTCCTGCAAAACAAAATTCCAGTTGCATTCATCGTTCCTAACCAGGCTCATCCCATGCCTAACTGACCTCGCTAAAGATGTGATGGCACCCGTTGAACAGTTTCGGAAATTGGTAGTACGGATAGCTGAAATCCTTAAAGCAATACTCCCATAGACCCATGTTTTTAAACGAACTGAACGATTCATCGTAGGATTCGATCCAATACGGCGAGCAAAAGCTCATCATCAGGAATATCGATGCGACATAGGATAGGATGGCTCCGGCTACCAAAGCATCTGCAATAGAGAACATTCAATAGGGATAGTTCGAAACCATCGCTACGCAGTGTATCGACCGTACACAACCAGGTAGGTGGGTGTGTATGCTTGATTCACCGCCGCCCCGCGTAGAGCAACAAAAACAACAACATCAACAGCAAAACTAGGCGGAGGTGTCTAATTCAAAAATGTCCACATTGCACAAACTTCTACCACCTCCGCCCGACATACTCACTTGAAGCCTTCGGATATTCGTTCTTTTCGATGGTCGAGGACATCGTTAAGGCACTGCAACCTGTGATAAAAACCGGACAAAAATACCTCCAGACAAGACACTTGACTTGACTTGACTTGACGATGATGGTTCCTCCAGCGCTGCACTCTGTTGATTGAGTGAACACACTCTTCTAGCTAAATAACCAAAATGAATGCTTAAGCTTAGTACTGCCATACAGATGAAATAACTATCGGGCTGCCAACTTGAACGAAACGAAAAAGCAGCATGAACTCACCTACCAACCAGACAGATTTTGTTTATGTTCATTCAAACTTTCCTCCGGCGAGAATGTGCATGGAATGCATAAATCGAAAACAAACGACCGTGCGTTCGTCACATAATGAAGCATCCGCAATACGTAAGAGGCGGGTAATGGGGTGGGTGAAAGCAAGCGACACCCGTCTGCAGAAGCTATGATGGATGGCATAATCGAATGAACGAGCTAATGAGCGATCGAACACGGGTGTGTTAGTGTCATGTGAAGGGGCACACCTCGCTGGGCAAATAAAGTGTACATGGGTACATGTTTATATGCGTAGTAGGTACCTAAATGGATGAGTCACGAGTTGATGTGCTCTTCTGAAAATAGCCGTTGCCCAAAGATGTATGCAGGTGGTTTCAAGAGGAATGTTTCAAATTGACAGTTTTAGACGACTTTAAAACAGGGTTCGCTACTTGCAGGACGTAGAAGTCTCCCGAATTTAAGCGTACACAGTTTGTGTGAATGTATGTGTGTTCTCCTGTGAGATGATGGTGGGGAGCATTGTAAACAATTAAGAATATGCCTACTTATTTTGTCTCAATCAATTAGATGCAGCGAAAAAATCCTGCTGAAGTCACCTCAATGCACATCCAGTAATTTATTCTTATTGTAAAAAACAGTGATAAATCCACCTACCGGTGCCTTTCTTATGCATATTCAAATAGTTTGTGAGTTTGTCAGCAGGATTTCGAACCGAGCTCAACTAAAAGTGCAATGGTTATGGTTAAATGGTTATGGTCAATGTATTTTACACTCCAGGGACGCAGGATTTGATGACATGAACATGTCTTCATTTTGTAGACGTTTGAAATTCTGTAAAGTCATTTTTTTCCTGCAGACATTTTGAAGACATTTCATGTCTTGTGAAGATTTTAGAAGACATGTTGATATTGAGACTTCCATAGGCTTTTTGATATTGAAGCAGACAAGCGAAATTTTTTGCTATAGAAATTAAGATTTTTACCTGATATTTTGAGGTCCTACTGTTGAAAATGTTGACAATGAAAACATTCTGTTCTGTGCGTTGCTTAATAAGGTGAGTGCTTTTCCATTTTTGACAACTACTGATTTTGATTGCTACGGTTTTCTTTTGAATTCAGTTAACGGTGCGTCATTGCTTTTGTCCAATGCGTGATTTCACTAGACTTATCTTTATGAATAAGAGATGGTTAGAAATCTAATATTATTCAGAAAGCACTGATACAAATTTGTGTAAAGTTAGTGAAGCCTTCATTAAAAACCACGATCAGCTGGATATATCAGAATAAAACTTCATCAACCTGAACTCTTTAAAACATCCAGAGGACTTAACTTCCTGATTCCGTCTAGGTAAAATATCAGAGATACGACATTTTCACAAATGTCTAGAAGATTTATTTGATAACTATCACATACGAATATCAACATAATTATCTAAAATTATCAAAGCTTTCTGAACTTCTGCCAAGATTCCTGTACAGTAACGACCCGCTTTTAGTATCCCCTCCGCGTATCAGACTTTTATTTTTCAATAATTTCACATAACCGTAATCCCAAATAATTCTCATTCATCTTGAAGATTAATGTTTTAGGTATACTTTGTTGCAATAAGACCAATGAAAAAGTACATGGATTTCGTAGCACATTAGAAAGGAATATTAAAAGGGGGGCCTGGCAAAATTGGGTCATTAATGTATCCCTTTAGTTTATCCCAAGTTTCCTAAGCTTCTATAATGGTCCATGAACTTGTGAATAGTTTCGCGAATCTCTGGTTGGTTCAGCCAACTTCTGCAATATATTCATCGCTCATACAAAGTTTCCTAGAAATAGAATTTAAACTTCTAAGAAGATCTATGAGATTGTTTAAGCTCCCTTATCTCTTAACCAATATCTCAGAACACACATGAGCTTCTAAAAACTCCCGAGAAGATCCTCATCCTTTTGTTTACGAATATTCACGAACATCTGGGAAGTTCCTCCGTTGAAACCAAATAAAGTTTCCAAAACTTCGAGAAAGTTCATTGAGCTTTTGTGAAGCTAGATCCCTTACAAAATGCTACAAAATTCCTAAAAATTGATCCAAAATTCCTCAAAACTGCTAAGAATTTTCTTAACTTCTACAAACTTTATTTTTACAAAGAGTAATCCAACTTTGTTGTTGAATTCGACCATTTTGACGCCCGCTTTATTTTTAAAAATGGCGATTCAATCAATCAATACATTCATAGCTTTTTTGCTTTTGACGTTTTAAACAGTTTTTGTTTTTTATTTATTCACCGAAATTTGTGAATTTTTTACAGTTTGATTTTTTTTTTCTGGTAAAGGTAATCCAGTTTCCCACAACATCATTTCAATTAGATGAGCTTTTTTCGTGCGATTTATTGAAAAGTCAAAATAGCCTGATTCCTGCACAAACTTGATTTATTAGCCCTAGCGAACAATTATTGAAAGTTTCATGGAATTCTGAGAGGTAAAATTTGAAAATCAATAATTTTTTCTATATTTGGGAGCATCCATTAATTACGTCCCGCCTCCTTTATGTCACAGATATTGTCACATTTTTCTCATGCGATGTAAAAAAAATCGTGCATTGAACCAAACGGACTACACTGAAGTTCAATGGATTTCTCGGAAGTTCAAGGTTTTTTTTTTTTGGAAGATGTGCCAACCTCTCAGAAGTTGTATAGACTTCTCGTAATTTGAAAGAACTTCTCGAAAGTTCTATGGGCTTCTCGGATATTCTATGGACTTCTCGGAAAATCTATGGTCCTTGCAGACATTCTACTGGCTTTTTAAAGTTCTACGAACTTCTCAAAAGTGCAACAAACTTTTCAAAAGTGCAACAAACTTCTCAAAATTCAACGAACTTCTCAAAAGTTTTACAGACTTCTCGGAAGTTCTTACTATACAGACTACGGTTTTCTTAGATGATATTGTACAGACTTATCGGATATTCCATGGACTTCTCGGAAGCTCCATACCCTTTTCGGAAGTTCTATGGACGGGTCGGATACTCATTTTGATAAATTCTAGAGACTTCTTAGAAGTTTTACGGACTTCTCGGATGATCTACGGATTTCTCGGATGATCTACGGACTTCTCGGAAGATATACGGACTTCTCGGTGGTTCTACGGACTTATCGAAAATTCTAGGGATTTTTAGGATATTCTACGGAAATCTCGGACTTCCCGGAAGTTCTACGCACATCTTGGATTTGCTTTGGACTTCCCAAGTTTCAAAATAAAAGTTCATATTACTCCCATTTCCAGCATCTCGAACAACATCTTTACAATTCCCCGACTGCTCCAGAAACAACCCGAAACATCCGAAAAATTTGACTAACTCTATTATTCACAGAACTTCTAAAAATTTCATAGATCGTCCGATATGTTCTTCCGACAAACTCACGAATTTTACGACAAGTACACAGAACCTCCAAAAAGTCCAACAGAAGTTCTGTCTAATTCATGGATCTTACGACTGTTTTGTTTTTTTGACGTAGAACTACGTCTTTGTCGACTATACTGGGGTGCAAATCAAAAAATATGTGTGGTGAAGGAATGTTAGGTTTTGAACGCTTGTAACTTTGTCATTTATAGATGAAAATAAAATCCAAATATGCCAATCGATAGTATATTACATTACAAACCTTCTGAAATGAATATTTTTCCAATTTTTCTGTAATTAAACTTTTGAAAATGTCGAAATGATAATTTTATTACTGTTTTCATAAAATAAGCCTTTTTCCCAAACCCAGTCATCATAAACGAATACCACTTGGTTACACATCATTCTGCTTGAACCTGAAAAAATATAAATCAGCGCTGCTCTCCTGCCTCTGCTCACATTCCTGTTCGCAGATGATACCGCAATAGCCGTCAAAGGAAGGATGCCTCGCGAAATAACGAACAAACTTCAACGATGCCTTAACGCCTTTGCTGATTATGCCACCACGTGGAAATCAATGCTTCCAAAACACAAACAATCATGTTCCTCCATCGACAATCACCCAAACCGGCTCCCTCTTGCACTGTAATCATGGATGGCACAAGGGTTGAGTGGTCCGCCGAAGTAACCTATCTCGGGATGTTGTTTGACGAAAAGCTCCTATTCCGCTCGCATGTGGAGAAAACCGTAGTCAAGTGTTCCGCCTTGGTTAGAAGTCTGTATTCGCTGATTTGCCGCAGATCCCGCCTCTCAAGGGTGAACAAACTGGCCGTCTACAAACAAATCATAGCACCTGCGATCCTCTACGCAGCTCCGGTGTGGGAATCATGTGCACAGACTCACAGGAACAAAATTCAGGTCGCTCAGAATAGAGTGCTGAGGATGGTTCTTGATCGTCCTTTCGACACTAGAATAACAAATTTACATGAAGAGGCAGGCATTGCCAAAATAGATTCCAAAATTAACGAAATTAAGGCTAAATTTGCACAAAAATGTAATTTATCAGAACATGCTTTGATAAGCAATTTGTATATAGTAGGTTAGGTGTATATAGTAGTTGTAGGTTAGTTGTAGTTGTAAATAGTAGTTATCAGTAGTCTCCTTTTTCCAATTCAAATCAAACCAATCCCACCAAGGTGGTCATACTTTAAAATAGACCTGATAGGACTAGGAACTGTAAATAATAATTAAAATCTCAAATGTACTAAAGTTGAAAAGACGCATCTGTGTCACTTAAAAAATTCATACATGTAAATCACACATTCACAAGAAATAAAGATCATTTAAATGGCAAAAATGCCTCTGCTCATTACCGCTTCGGACGGCGTGGCACTAGGTCCTGCAGCAAGCAGGATCAAGTCAGCGGCTAAAGGTGGATCACGGCGTGTCCACCACAATGAGGAATGA